AAAAGGGAATGAAAATAGGTGCACTACCAAGATATAACAATTGATTTTTAAAAATAAAAAAAAAAAATTATTATAAGCTGCATCAAATAAAATAATAATCAGAGCTTTCAACAAACTTTATAGTTGGCATAAGATAACTTTAAAGCTTAACCAAAAACAACAACTTTTGCATAGGAATTTATTTAAATTATTCTTAATGGACTCGGTGAACTGCCGACCAGCCCCAACCTATATGTAGGTACTATATATTTAGTATTTATATAGATTTTATTTAACATTAACTTTTATATTACACATTACATGCCCTATAATAAATCTACCTGCATGCAACTTCCCATAATGTGTCCATGATGTAACATCAATAGTATTTCTATAACAAAATAACATGATAATGTTGCAATATAATGTTTGAGAATGAAGTGAGGAACAAAAGGGTTATTATTACCTTGATACATGAAAGTTTTGGATCTCGATTTGTAATTTTTCAAGTTGTCCCTCGATGTCTTTTAGTTCATCAAGGGTGCCCGAAAGTTTATTCACTCGATCTTGTGCTAATTCTTGATATGGCTTGCCAATGAGCGTCACGTAGTTGTTTAAAGTGTTGGTAGAATCCAATAAGTCCTTTTGCATGGCCTCTTCCAGTTGACGAGCAAAGGCATCGACAGTTCTTCTCACTTTGTCGATCACTTTTTGTCTCCGGGACGAGAAATTTGAAATTGCCAACAGACTATCATCAAAGATAATTGTGATTTGAGTCAAATTTTATTCAAACTATTTTTTATACATAGTATCCAAAAACTAGAACTACCCCCAAAAATGCTTCTATTTACATATTGTGCGCAGATAAAGAGGCAGGTTGCATTTGGTAAGCATATAAGCTAGCTTATAGCTTATCTGATTAGCTAGCTTCTAACTTATAAGCTTCATGTATTCATATAAGTTGAGTTTGGTAGGAAAAAAGTTCGAGCTTATCTCATAAGCTTCATTTGGTACCTTTTGAAATAAGCCAATTGAAAATTTGATTTCAGTTAGCTTATCAGATAATTATACCGAAACACTTTTATCATATAAGCTAGTTTTTCAGCCATAAGTCATAAGTTATCAGTTATAAGCTCGAAATTCTCTTAAGAGCTACTATAAGCTAGCTTATTAGCAAGGTTTACCAAACATAATCGTAATCTGTAAGAACTAAAGTCAATGAGGGTATTTGTGATTTTCAGAGATTAGTTATTGTTATTTTATTTATTTTGGGTATCAAGCTAAAAGAGTCTTTAGGAAAATATATATTTAGATTTGTACCGAGAATCCCGTGTCCATTATCAGGGAAAAAAAAAAGATTAGGAAAGGAGATTACGGATGACAATTCACATACCCGCCAGCAGAGCAAAGGCCTAAAGCAAGGAGGTCTTCTAAAGTGGTAGGCAAGATAGATGTTAAGACCGATGCAGATAGACCAGCTGCACCCAATCCACCAAAAGCGTCCAAGAGCTGAAAATGGAAAAAATGGAAATTAAGTACCAATGAGTTTGAGGCTGTAATTGGCTATCGAAAGAAATTCATTTTCATTTTTCCAGTGAACAATTTCTCCGGAAATTGTGATTGGACACTGAATAATATCTTCTGATTTTGCCGAATGTGCGCTTGTAATCAGTTACTAATAGAAGTTCTATGAACTTCATGAGCATAATTGCGATCATCACCGCCATGAAATCAGTAATATGACAATGGTTTTCAAGCAAATTTCATTTGAAAGCTTAACAAGTGGAAAACGTGAGCACCTCGATGATGTAGATCTAATCAACTGCCACAAAATGCAACTCAAATCTTTTTATCAGAAAAAATAAAATAGAAAAATAACGAATGGCATATGATGTTAATTTTTAAAGTGCTAGACCAATGAACTTCTGGAGGATGTATGCGTGCTAATTGCTTCGCCTTCATTAGGCTGAAACGTGTTCTACCGGAGTAAAATAAGTTTTATTTGTAATCTGGAAAGCGTCTCTAACTTACCACTTCTCTGATTTCTTGCTCAAACAGTTTTGAAGCAGCAGCAGCACTAAACTCTTCAATAACAGCTATACCTATTTCCTGCTTTGTTCTTAACAGCTCATTAGCCTCCAGCTGCGAGTGGATTGATGGAACAACTAAAGGCCATCTTTCTTTGAACAACTCCTTGTATGTATTTCCTTTACGAGAGTTTTTCGAGTGCAACCACGCAGAATATTCGCCAAGCAGTTTCTGGATCCCAATGAAATTTACAGGACGAAAAGAATTACGACATGGCAGATCAATTCACACCACGTAAAACCCAGGTGGCCATAAATATAAATGAAAGTAGTTTATTCTACAGGTGGAATACAATTGAAAGATCTGAAGGAGTAAAAAATTCGCATGAGAAATAATGTTCTCTTAGCATACTAAATGTTCCTAAATTTGATGGAAAGGACCTAATTGCAATAATTATTTATTTTTTTTTTTTTTCAAAAAATGATGTTTCTTTCCCAGATTAGTAAAAGGGAAAATGCAACAAAATTTTGCTTAATCTCATGGATGATAAATATACTTATGAACAGAAAGTGACAATTTCAAAACAGTGGCATGCATTAAATGCACGTATAATGGACAAAAACAGTCAATTTGAATGAAAAAAAGAATTATAATAAGTTTAATAATTGGGAGAAGAACGTAATGATAGGGCGCAAACTAAGTAAATATAACTTTTCAAGCAAATGGACATTTGAATAAATATAATACCACGAGCTTGCAGCTCATGTGGTACCTCTCATCCTTTATAAGGGTATTACACTGGTTCATACAGGGTTCCATCCCTGTACTTCACAGTTTCTTAGGAATTTATAGTTTGTTACCCACCTGCCCCTTGCAATAATTGACTGAACTAGGCACTTACTTCAGCTTGTGAAACTGCAGGCTCAATTATTTCATTTCGTAGACTTGAGGTCACTGGCATCTGGGCAGATTTATCTCCTTTTACAAAGTATGAGGTAACAAGATCAAGATTTGAAAGTTGTAGAGTCGAGTCTGCAAGTTTAACTGCACGCGTTTGTGCATCACTGATCTGCATTTGTTTTGTCGAACAGCATAAGCATTTTAAGTGAGATTCTATTACAAGACAATGTCCTTGAGACTAAGAGGAAGAAAAGAAAGAAAAAGGAAAGGGAAAAAGGTTACATTA